CGGGGATATGTATCCTATTCCATTCAGTGCTCTGCTCTCTGCACTGGAGACCAGGGGGTATTTTTATCCCCCCGATCCCACCAGGAGAAAAATCCTGCCCCCTGCCTTGTGACCTCCATCATCCCTCCCACTCCAAACTTACTTCTATTGGGTCTCAGCACCAATGATCGACAGGAAAACCAGCACCAGAAGTGGCATGCAGGACTGGGGGGTGGGGGGGGTTGGCAGGTTTGGAGCTGGGTGGTTAAAAATAGTTCAGTGCTGGGGAAGGGGGAAGGCAGGAGGCTGTGCTGGGAACGTGTACAGAAGTTCATTTAGATCGGTCTTGCAAGAACCCATCTAAGTTAGACTAACTCCCAGGTAGAGTTAAATTAGATCCAGTCGACCATTTTTTAATTTTTAACAGAGCTAACCTTCTGGGAACTTCTATACAGTTCACACTTAGATTGGCCTAACTAGAGATCCAAGTGTAAGGTCTGCACATGGGCAAACTTGGTTAGCTCGGCTGGCCATTTTCAATGTGATCTAACCTCCCCTAATGTCTGTACCCACACTAACCGATTCACAGATCTTAGCACAAAGGTTTGTGTTGCCTTAAGGGACACTGTAGCTACTTAAGAAATGAACAAGTCTACATTATAATTTCAGTAAATATGGTTATTGGAAAGGGTGTTACTACAATTATTTTTTCTTCACAGAACGGACTGATGAATATTCAGCATGTGAGTCACAAAGAAAGCAACTGCTTTGAGTAGCACTTTTAAAAGAATCATTTCACACTCTGCAAAAATGGGAATACTTTAAAGTTTGTTTTTTTTAATGGAACAGAAATCCATATTATAAAAGTCTGGGTTATTCAAGATCACCCTCCTCAGCCTGACGTTTCGTCCAAGCCTGTGAACATGTTAATTGATGCTTAGCTAGCAAAATCACAGCCACACTGCAATTTTTTTGGTAATACAGAAGTAATTTTGCATTTTATCTGAAAAATATGTTTCTAGATTAAATTAAAAGTTATGGAATTGTTTAATGTGAGGGTTTCAGGACACCAATATTGACAGGGATTACAAATTAAAAGTTATTAAAATAAAAAAAAATATTTCCTATACCAATTAAAACTAGAACTGTCACATCAGTTTCAAGAACATTCTTAAATAGTTTGAGAACTGGTTACACCAGGGTAGGCAATTATTTGGGCTGGAGAGCCACTTTGGGGGTTTTGGTGAATTGTTGTGGGCTGGGTCAGCACACCTCCCTCCCCTGCTGCTCACAATGCCTTGCTGACTTCCTAAGGGGTAGATTACGGGAGTGGGCATGGTTTCAGCATAGACTGGCTGGGTCCCTATGGGCAGAGTGTGTGCTTGGCGAGGCAGATAGGATGGGGCTGCCGGCAGGCAGGGAGCGGTGTCTGGAAGCCAGGGCCAGGGTGGGTGTGGGGCCCGGGACAGAGCTACAATCTGCTCCAAGCATGGCACTGCACTGTCACTGCAATGGGATCGAGGCACCAGTCTCAGCCACCCAGTCTACTCCTGGACATTGCTCCCTGCCTGCCTGTAGCCCCATCCCATCCACCCTGCCCATGGGGGTTCCATCTGATTTCCATGGAGACCTGCCCCGCCTGCTGCATCTGGTGCTCCCAGCAATGGGTGCAGGGGAGGTGGGCTAGGGTGCTTGGGCAGTGGGGCCAAGTCTGGCAGCAGCAGCTGGAAGCCGCTGATGTGGGGGCTTCTGGGAAGCAAGTCTGGCTGCTGTACCGCCTCAGCCCCGCTGCTCATCTAGGAATAGCAGGATCCCAACACCTAGGCCAGGTGGGGCTCAGGGACACGCTGCAGGGATAAAATCCCTTGGCCAGATCCGGCCTGCGGGCTGTATTTTGCCTACCCTCGGCTTACAATGAACTTCTATAAAAGAGAATACGCCTTCCTACTTCTGCTTCTCTCTGTTTTTTTTGTTTTCATCACTAGCAATATTGCAACACCGCACAATGAGAGAGGAGACACAATACGGGCAAAGCCATTTTATACTACAGCTCCTGACAGCAACTAATTAACACCATTAATGCTTAAGAGGCTTTTTCTATTTAGCAAGTAAACAATCATGTTGCAAAAGCTCATGCCTGGTGAAGTGCGCCTTGGGAATCTGGGCTGAATTCAGAGATAATTTGTAAGGTGCTAAGAAGTTACCACCTCAGGATATGGGTGACAGCAGATGCAGAGAAGCAACCAAGTATATATACACTAGCTCAGAGTTTAAGGGATTCTAAATGGGTGCAATTTACCAAGGGGCTGGAAAATAGGAGTGTTGTAGGAGCCGCAAGTAATGGGAAAGTAGTGTGCGAGTTACAGCACCTGCTTCTTTTTTGTCCCTTCTACAGCAGATCTCATTTTTCATCCCCCCGCAGTTTTATTTTACCAACATAGATATCATTACACCCACTTCAATGTGTAATTTTCACCACCTTTATGCAGTGCTTCTGAATTTGGCCTCCATAAGCACCACAACTAAACCAAATTTGACAATTGCAAATTTGCAGCATCCTCTGGAAAGCTGCACTAACCTTGACAGAAGCTCATTTATTTACATTTATTTTAAGCATGGTTTGTTTTTTTTCAAATCTAAAATAAATAAAAGGCAGCATATATCAGATACATTTACAAAGTATATGCATAAAATAATGTTTTACATATTTCAGTGACCTTCAAAACTTCCACCCTTCCACCTCTTTCAAACAATTTTATGGATTCAATTTAAATTGGTTTAAGATTATGTGATGGGCAAGGATTCATTCAGGTGGCATCTTTTATTGGACCAACTACGTAGTTGGGATAAAGTTAGACAAGCTTTTGAATGTAAGACGTCTCTGTCAAGTCTTTGATTCAGATTATGAGCATTTTTCTTTCCCCAGGAATCCCACAGGTCTGTTGATATTAATATTAATTAATTTATTATTCAATTTCTACTAAATTAAAGGAAGTGGGTCTGCTTTAAAAAATTGTAAAGTGTGAATTTTGTGACAGTTGTTTTTGGCTTTTGAATTTGGGTATGAAAATGGATCTTGAATTAATCCAACTGCCATCAACCTTTGCAGTTTAGTACTATTGTAGTTTAGCATTAGGATGATATCTTGTACTTATACAGCACAGGTAGCAGTTCCATCAAGCCACAATGTACAGATATTTAGATCATTTATCTGTATTACCACATGAATTCTGAAGTGTTTCCGTTTCTGAACGATTCAACTAGAACATTCACTCTATCCCAGCAAAACTGAATAGGATACCATGTACCAAGAAAAGTGAGAAATGCAGAAAGCTAAAGGTAATTTATTTTCTAAGTTTCTGGTTATCAAGTTAAGGAACCTACAGGGTTTTAGTACAGTTCTGGTCTTCTGCTTAACACTAAGCATTTAACATTTCCGGGTCTCTCTCCCCCCTCTGGAATTCATTCCTTTTTCTTCTTTCACCCCTTTCATCACTAATCTTGTTTCTGTACATCCTTCCCATCATCTGTTATTTTGGAAAGGGTTACCTGTTCCTTTGCCTTTTTGCATGCCGCTACTCCTGGACCAAAACATTGGAACTGCTCATTCTAGTCAGTCAGTAAAGAATTTGCAGTTAGACAGACCGAACAAAACAGAAACATGCAATTCTTTCTCCTCTTGGGGTAGAAAATAGCCAACTCTGAATTTGATCCAGAGCTTCTGGACTAGTAAATTAGATGCAAAGCAGTCTCAAGCTAACATGCACACTTCCAATTCAACTCTCCTCCATCTGCTCTTTTAATTTCCCATTCTTTTCCTCACTTCTCCAGAAAGCTTCTTGCTGCTCCTCCTGCACTTTGTAGGATTGATATGATTTGCTTCTGCTGATGCCAACCTGGGACAGATTTGGTCCTAGGAAGTATGAAACCTGTTGTTCCAGCTATGAAAAGATGTGACCCAGTGTAACATTAAAAAAATGAATCACTGAACTGGAATTGTGCAAGGAGGAAGGAACAGACTTCTCTTTCTTTTATTACTTCTGGACACACCAAAGGTCCACATTTATTTTTCTGAGACCTCCAAACTTACAAGCACAAATGGGAAGTTTTTCTAGACAACAAGGGTATAATATAACTCTCTAACGGAGAGTTCCGAAAATCTAGCAGAGCTTGGGAAGAGATGGGAATTCTAGGTTCACCGTTCCCAATGGTAAAACTCCAGCCAGGAAAGGCTAGTTTACTCTTTGCCATCAGTATAAATTATGTACAAAAATTATATCTATATTTATCACAGTTATGTGTCTAAATTCAAACATATGAACTTGCTGAAAATAACCCTCTGTAAACTCAGCTATTGGTTTACATTTAGTTATAAAAGTTTAAGGGTTCATTCAGTTTCCAATTACCTACTGTTCAATTATCTAATTTAAAATCTAAAAATAGGTTTGCACACCAGTAAGACACATGGCAAAATAAACCATTCTATCTGATACCTGTGGACTGGTTTAAATGACAACATACTACGGGCAGGTGCAGGGCATCTGAAAAGGTCAGTACCTCCCACCACGCTGGGAGTTGCTCCTCTCACTCAATGCCTTTTCAACTGGATGCTGAAAGCAGTTCCAACTGGCTCTCAAGGAGCAATATCTAATTTTGCTTTAGCTGGGAGAGATTAACCTTAGGGATGAAGATTGTGGTTTAGGTGAAGAAAACCCCCCGCACAAAAAAGGGGTCCGTTTCTAAAATAAATGTAAGTTTAGTGCTTTGGGTTTCTCTATTCATTTTATTTGAATTATACATATTGTTCACATGATACAGCTAAATTGTTTTCTGCAGAACCACAAGTACCTAGACTCATGGAATAAAGGCCTATCTTTTAAAGACAATTTTTAACTAGCAGCTGAGCAGATATTACTCATAGGCGTTCAACTTACTTGAGTTACAATTACATTTTTCACACAGGAAATCAGCATAAAGCTAGCATTCAAAAGCATGAACTTTGCTATTGCCAACTTGTTTACCTTCTGAAGTCCCCCATTCTCCTCCACCAATGGTGGGAGAGTACCGGTGCTGTTGCTTGATGGTGGCTCGACATTGTAGTCACGAAAGCAGCAGAATAAGGTGCTAAAGATACTTCGACTCCTCTGTTTCTTCAAACTGATATTACATTGGGACACTACAGAAAGGGGGAAAAAAAAGGTGTTATACAGATTTAAAACATTTCCAAATATAAAAAATTTATTTTAAGAAGCACAATATTACTTTTAAAAATAATTTTAAGCAAAATTTTTTTCTTCCCACTACAATGTAAATTGTCAGTTAGGCTTTCATAGATATTTGTATATGCTTTGGATCTCCACATAATCAAAGTTTTTCTTAGCTGTTACCTTATAATATAGTGAATTGTTATTTTGATGTATTTTCCATAAGTATTTATAATAAAATACTGTAACCTATAGGCAACAGTTTGCTGTCAAACAGTGACTCCTGTAGCCATTAACTGAAACAAGACTCACAAAGTCATTTTACAGCTAAACATACTAGGATGTTTATGCTCATTCCAAGCCGAGGACTACCTTTCAAATTTTTTTTGATTCTTCCCTTATTTAAGGCTTGACAGGCACATTGATGGACACAAAAAGTACCGAAACGAAAATTCTTCTAGTGCACAGGTTTACACAAAGTCCTATAGGAAAGGAATACTGTCACTCTTCCTGTGCAAGTTGTTTGCAAAACCAGAGTAAAGGAAGCTGCAGCTTGATTTTTGTGGCAGAGCATTTTTGAAGGACAATACCACACCCACCGACTGATTAGATAGTAGGAAAAAGGTACACGTTCATTAGGTACATAGAAGACCTGCAGGCAGGCCTCAATTACCAGAGCTGCAGATTCAAAGCTTTTAAGTCCTCCTATTACCTTTTGAATGAGCAGGTCAACAGTTTCCCAATGCAGTAATGACCACCAGGTTAATCAGACTCAATAAAAATTTAACAATTAGTTGAATCTGTGCAGGCGTAGTTCTACTAAAAAGAGAATTTAGATATATTTTATTATTACTTTAGATCTGGACCATCCAACTTTTAAGTGGTTGGGGGCTGCAGGCTGTGTGGGCTGCACCACTGGGGGCCACAATAGGGAGATCCACACTACCCAACTGCATGGCACAAGGCAACCCCTCCTGCACCACTGCACTATGCCGCAGGCTCCCTGGCACTGTGAGCTGCACTATCCTTCACTACTCCCTGGGACAGGAGCAAGAAGCGAAGATAATGGTGGGTGAAGCTTAGAGGCTCCAGCTGCACAAGCAGCTGGGGGAAATAAGGGGGGCAGTGGCCAGCTAGGAGCCTGAGGGAGAGGGGGAGGACACGCATTAACCCCTTACACATTAACTCTAGTTAGCGTAGTCAATATTCTCTCTCAGATAATAGCATTATAATCTCTCTAATAATAGTATAACACTTGGCACAGTACAACCCTTATTTCTTTAGTCTACTCTACTGAACAACTGCTGGTAACAAGTAACTTCTAATACTACAAGATACAATAACCTAAATCTAAATGCCTGGTATACCTGTATCTTGGAAGTTAAAAAAAAAAAACAACCAAGCAAATATGGCTCTATCACAACTACTAAAAGTTAAATCAGATCAGAAGTGTGGGAGCACCAAAACATGTTAATACTAGACACATATTTTGGATGCTGCGGTAAAGAGACAATAGCTATTGCAATGTACTGGAGAAAGAGTTCCTAAACTACATGATCTTTCAGCGTGGGGTTGCAACTACCTTGCCTTTCCCATTACCTGGGGGAAAGGATTCAGGGATAGAAGATGCAATTACCTCAATTGCACCTAGTTCATAATTTCATTCCATACTTTTTGTAACCAAAGTTTGGGCAAGGAGCTACTCTGTACTTACTCCAAAGCCAGTCAATCACGCACCAAGGTGTGAATATATATATTCATTTATAGGTCATTCATAGAAGCGTTATGTCTTATCCAATTGTAAAGGTTTTGGTTGAATTTTCAGCAATTGAAAACTATTTCTTTTGTGTTTACACCTAAAAAAATTGAACAGATATATGTGACGAAAGGAGCCAACTTATGGCCCGATCAGGAAACTAGCCCACTTCTTTGTCCTTGGGCCAACAACCTGCCTCTTTCTCCTGCCACGCCTTGATGTCTTACTGTTTTGATGTTATTAGGCAGGAAGCTTCCCTTCAGCCCACCCTGATGTCAAGCACCTGATGTACATGCTCCAACAATCCCTAGATGTGTCCCATATCTCACAGATGTTTCCTCCACCTAGGCAGTACCGGGACCCAAGCTCCAGAGTCTCACATGGGAATCTCACTGCCCACCGCAGCCCAAGTTCCCAGCATCCTCACAGATGTTTTCAACTGCGCTCCCACAACTCAACTACCTCTCACTACACCGCCCTCTCCCGGGGCCACGCTACGCCACCCTACCATTTAGGCTCAGGGTCAACCACCCCTGTAGGCTCAGGTGGCACTCCTCTTACTGTGCCTCACCCACCACTCCATGCTGTCACTCAGGGCTTGAGGTAGAACACCTCTGTAGGCTCAGGTAGCATTTTCCTGCTGTGCCTGCCCCACCTCCAGGGTCTACCACCCCACAGGGCTCAGGTGCAGTTACTCTGTGTTCCTGGCACTGAACTGCCTCCAAAGCCTACCTGAAGACGGGGGCAGGGGTTTAGATGCCCCGACTTGCCTTACACCAGGATGGTCCTTGAACCTAGCCTTTAAGAGGCCCTGCTCCACCACAGGCAAGACCACCAGGCCTCCCTATCCTGGCAGGGTAGTTTCAGGTCATGTACAGGACGAATGAGGCGAGACCTCCTCCTTCCCCATAGCCTCACTCTTATCTGTCTGAGGTGTTCCAGGAGCAGCTCAGCCCAATGTTGCCTCCTTGGGCCCTCCGCAGACTGCTCCGCTCTTATACCAGAGCTCTCCAAAATGGCCACCTTTGTCAGTCACCTGATGGCTGGCTGCTCCAGCTCTTAAAGTGACATGGCACTGAAGCTGCTCCGTCACAGATACCCTACTGCAGAGCTGACACGCATGTATAAAATGCCTATATCAGTGTTACATATTTTAGGTATTTGATTTTAAAAAGCTATATGGCAGCTTGCATGGCAGGGCAATCTTATGCTTCAAATGCAATGCTTTTGCTGTCTGGGTAACACCTGATTAGATTCAAATCACAGAGCAGGCTAGCTGCCTGCTTAAATTTGTTTTTGTGTAAAGGGCCCACATGGCATTTGTGGAACAGATATAAGACTTTGGGATGGCCTCAGTGAAGACATTTTCTCATGTCCAAACACTTGTTTCTATTTGAATGTTGGCTTGGGAATTTTAGAGGAACAGGGAGGCATACTGCACAGGTCCTAAAATATAATTACTTAAAAGGAAGTAGATCAGATGGATTTTCAAGAAAATATCAGAATTATGCATTGAATACTCTAAGCAGCATGATTAAGAGAACTGCTCAACATGTGGCAGTTAGAGGAAGCCTCTTTCTCTCTGGGAAACCACCATCACCACTGAGGATTTCCAGATGCTACTTCCTATGACCCCACCTCAGACACTAAGCTGGTGACCCACTGTCCCTACTAAAGCATAAAAACAAATCATGAGAGTCATGCAAGAATATTTTTAAAGTTCTGTATGGACTTCCTTGACATACACATGCCATTTTCTTTTAAATCACAATATTCAAATATATACAATTTTAGGCAAGTGAAGGTGGAGGGAGGCTGCTAAGCCAAAGCTTCCAGAGCTCTCCCTAGATTCATTTCATTTTTGGTCATACCTAAACATCATACATATCAGGAAAAGAAAAAAACCGTTGCCCAAGACGAAAAGAGCTAACATTTCATGCAGCAAATCTACACCGTGGAGGAGGCAACTAGGAAAAGAATTGAGAAAATCTCACGCAGTCTGTGTTCTACATACACATACACTGAGTTAATTATAACTCTTAATGGCACATTAGCTTGTTAAAAACCACCCGCTATGTTCTTTACACTTTTCAACTAGTATTAAAATACAAAGACTGAATGCAAATGGCATGAAGGGCAATGGAAGTACCTAATATGAATAAAATAAAATCTACAGATGTGGCTAGTGTCAATGATTGATCTTACCTAAAGGCAGACTTACCATCTACTGCCATGGTTTTTGTGGCATGGCAGAAAAAGGGCTGGAGGCCCAAGGGAATACAGAATGCCTGATTTACACACAAATGATAAACAGAACCATACACTTCTACTAACAGAAAACACACAGCAGTCATATCTGGTTCAACAAAATGAAGGGGAAGAGGATAACCATTATAAAAACAACCTCCACACTCTCCCAGTCATTCTCAGCCTTTTTTAGAGTAATGATACCCCTCCCCACCTTTGAATTTGGCAACGCCCCAAGGTGAAAACCACTGTTAGTGCTGTTGTATCATCTTACCTCAGGGCTTTTCAACTGGTTGTTACCACTACCAGGTGTAAGTGCCCATGCACCAGCTGCACAGCCAGGGCTGCAGCACACTTGCTTTTCTGCCTCCTTAGGGTTCTCTGATAACCCTAAAGCAGGCAGGAGAGCTGGGGTCTGCTGCAACCCTTCCTATTCTGACCCTGGATGGCATCTCCTGAAGGAGGCATGTGGGGTAGGGAAACTGCCCAGCATGCCTCTCGTTTCCAGGAGAAGCGAATGCACGTACTTGTGTGCGCAGTGGGGAAGAGGGAAGAAGGGGAATTGGACTAGGAAGGGCTGTAGCACAAGCAGCGTCTCCTGCCTCCTAGGGTTTCTAGAATGTTATCAGCCCCTTTCTCTACATTATACTAGAAGTGATGCAATTGCTTCTGGATCTTCCCTAATAGATGAACAAGATAGCTGACATACCTGAATATTTTTAATAAAAAACTCTGACAATGAAAGACTGCAAGTGTACTAAATGGGTGCTTCCAACAGCAGAAAATGGCTTTCTGCTTACCCAGACTCAGACTTGAGAAATGCATAAATTTACTTTGAAATAGCCTAATATAATGGAAGGGTACAAATAGGTGGAAAAAAACATGGACTGGAAAAACCACAGTTAGCCGTCCTTCACATTTTCTTGTTTTGTTTTTTTGTTAAGAGTAGGGAACCTATTGTCAATTTAC